CTTCTTGTTAAAAACCGCAAGTCCAATTGCTTTGATACTACATATATAAATACTACATGTGGACCTCTCTCAGATTTGTTCATTTTGTAATGATATCTTTAATTCTCTAATTTTGGTGAATATTTTTGTAATTTTTGGTAAAAAGTGATATTTTTGACTTCTTGTTAAAAACCGCAAGTCCAATTGCTTTGATATATATATATATATATATAGGTACTACATGTGGACCTCTCTCAGATTTGTTCATTTTTAGCTCCGCTGTCGACTTTGTCGAGCGGAGCTTATCATATGAGTGATTGTCCGTCGTCGTCCATGTCAATGTTTTACTTTTTCGACTTCTTCTTGAAAACTACAAGCCTGAATGCTTTCATACTTGGTGTATATGTACCTTGGGTAGACCTCTCTCAGATTTGTTCATTTTGTAATGATATCTTCAATTCTCTAATTTTGGTGAATATTTTTGTCATTTTTGGTAAAAAGTGATATTTTCGACTTCTTGTTAAAAACCGCAAGTCCAATTGCTTTGATATTACATATATAGGTACTACATGTGGACCTCTCTTAAGTTTGTTCATTTTGTAATGACGTCTTTAATTCTCTAATTTTGGTGAATAGTTTTGTCATTTTTGGTAAAAAGTGATATTTTCGATTGCTTTGATACTACATATATAGGTACTACATGTAGACCTCTCTCAGATTTGTTTATTTTGTGATGATATCTTCAATTCTCTAATTTTGGTGAATATTTTTGTAATTTTTGGTAAAAAGTGATATTTTCGACTTCTTGTTAAAAACCGCAAGTCTGATTGCTTTGATATTACATATATAGGTACTACATGTGGACCTCTCTCAGATTTGTTCATTTTGTGATGATATCTTCAATTCTCTAATTTTGGTGAATATTTTTGTAATTTTTGATAGAAAGTGATATTTTCGACTTCTTGTTAAAAACTGTAAGTCATATTGTTCATTTTTGACTCCCGTGTGTGAAGTACAAAAAGGGAGTCTTTGCAGTTAGTGTGTCTGTCTGTTTGTGTGTG